CCTTATAGGCTTATACCCTAACCAATCAATACCATATATACTCTAAACCATCAACACCTTGCTTATTTAGACCATCTCCAATGGTGCAATTCTTGAAAATTGCAACCTGATGTGGCAAGGGAGTGAAAGTGGGATGGTGAGTTGCATTGATGTGGGATCAATTACAAAAGTTGCAAATTTGCATCTGATGAATGTTTTCTCATGCAGTTGCAAATTTTCATGCAGCACACACATATATACAATTCCAATCATAATACTTTACATAATTCGAATAACACAACGACAAAAAACAACTTGAGAGAAAACTCAAATTAATATAACACACTCACCAATTAATATTGAATTGCATTGAAAATTAAGTTGGACCCACGGTCACAATTGATGTATAGTTAAAGTTGCTGAAGTGGCAATTGGGACCATATATTTGCTCGGTGTTGGAAACTTGAACTGAAACTGGAAGTCCTCCTATGCCGAGTCGTTTGGTATATAAGAAGACTGTTGGCTCTTGCGGTGTCGTTTAATTTATGCACTCATTAATGGTCAGTTGAAGGCAATTTTTAAACACTCTAAATAAATCATGTGCAACATTTCAGTTGAATAATCTTGAGAACTAGTTTTTTTATTCAATTATTATATCGTATTTTTTGCACTAATTTTGAGCACTCATTAAATGGGTAGAGCATGTGGCGACAGAGGAGCAGAGTTCGAAATCCGGCAAAAAATCCGGTTGGCCCAATCGTAAAGACTTCTAAAAATGGAGTCAGTAGTCAACAAATAAAGTACAGTATTTTTATTGGGAGTGTAGGATCCCTTGCAGATTTAGAAGATCTCAAACGCTAATAGTACAAAGTACAATATTTTTATTGGGAGTGTAGGATCCCCTGCAGATTTAGAAGATCTCAAACGCTAATAGTACAAAGTACAGTATTTTTATTGGGAGTGGAGGATCCCTCACAGATTTAGAAGATCTCAAACACTTTTGGAAGCCGCCATGGAAGCGAAGAGAGAAGCAGAAGAAAAAATAACAAAACAGTATACAAATATAAACAAATGTTACATATAGTCCAACAAAAACAAAAAGCTGTACTTTCCCTCCCTATTTTATCCTATTATACATATGGCAACTTTCCTATCTTGTATACATTTTGGGAGCATGATCAACAAGTACGCATCAATATCGCACAAAAGAACCACCACATGAAGTAGGGTTCCACAACACATATTATGGAATCGCAACAACATGTGATGATTCTTTCGGTGATATTCAGACGGCGACTTATTGTCATTGCTCCCCTCCCTGCCTCTAACAAAGACCCTGCATGGAGAGAAAAGGAGAAACAATACAACAAAGGATTTAGTTTAACAGTCATGATCTAACAATGACATAATGAAAGGAAATGAGATCTAAAATAATACGCAGTCTCATCATTACCACTGCACCCGAAAATAAAGCATGGGATAGGAGGACGAAGAGGCGGATGGGGTTGATTTTCGGAGTTTCATATTGAGAAGATGGAAGAAAGGGTTCTTTCAGGGATTGAGAGGAGGAGGAACGAACAGCAGCAGGAGATGAGTGCCACTCGGGTTTCGGAGCACGGTCTCTCCTTCACTGATTAACGAATTTAAAGATTGACTCGTAATTACTTTTACTTTCCCTCCCTTCACATTTACTGAAAATTACACTCCCTACCACTGCCTCGGCCTTGGTAACGCCAGCATTGGTTATGGGCAAAAGCGACTTTCCGAATTCGGCAATATCTGATTGGGTGACACGCACGCGACAAGGATCGAAGGTATTTCACCATCGGATTAAGGGAAAAGTTTAGGAATTGACGGTGGGAAATGGGGATGTGTTTTTATAAATAGTCTGAATTTGTAGATTAACCAACTTTTTCGTTTACCAACATTACTCTATTGATCTGGTTTATGTTATTCTAACTTGAATCATAACCCTAAACCCTAAACCCTAAACCCTAAACCAAACCCTAATACACGAACCAATCAATACCATATACTCTACAACAATAACAACACCTTATAGGCTTATACCGTAACCAATCAATAACATATATACTTTAAACCATCAACACCTTGCTCCTCCCTTATACCATAACCTTCAAGACCTTATACTGTACACCAACAACACCTTCTTCTATCTCCATCCCCAACTTTCAATTTATAATAAGTGTTTCCTTTGGAATATAAAATGGAACCCACCTTGGCAATTGCTAGCATAATTTAGGGATGTAGATGAATAGAAATTGATAAGTGATGAATTGCTAAAATTGATGATGTGGCGGTAGGGACCTCGTTTAGAAATTGTTGTTCAATTTTAGGGATGAAGATGATCAATACACTAACCCAATACCATATACTCTAAACCATCAACACCTTATACAATATCGTATTTTAGGGATGGAGATGATCAATACACTAACCCAATACCATGTACTCTAAACCATCAACACCTTATACAATATCGTATACCTATACGCTGATAAATTAAAATTATAACTTGCTTTTCAAAACATAAATTAAAAATTGATACTCACTGTCGCAACCGCCCCCTCGGAATAGGGGGGGCCATCGCGTCACGCTCGAAGTCGCCATCGACCTTATTTAGCGGTGGATCGAACACCTTTTAGCCCGGTCTCGACCTTAGGGTCGAAACCGGGATTTTGGTCTGCGAATTTTAGAAATTCTCGTTCGGGAGTACGGTTACGTGTGGGGAAGTGTATTCACACCCCACAACGCCCCAAATGGGTACTAATTAAATCGATAAATTTTTAAGAGTTGGGTGTATTATTATTCGTGAATTATTATGTATTTAATTAAAGAATTCAAATAATTTGGTGTTTATTATTATGATTTGGTCATACGTAAAAGAAAGTGTTTTTGGTTAGTTGGACTCGAACCTATTGGTTGCCTACGTACCCGAGTTAATCGGGATCAAAGTCCACGTAGTTCGTTTAAAATGAACAGTTTTGAAAGAGGAAACCTAGCACGATTAATATTGATCGTGTTTGAGGTTTGAGATTGGTTTTGTGTAGGAGTTAATTGTGATATTTGATTTGGCTATAGAACGATTAATAATTTTAATAAGTTTTGTCATAAGACTATCACAATTTGCTAACCATGATTTGCGTACCAATATGTTAAATATAGATAGGAAGGAAACCCTAGTAGATAGTACTGTTGATTTTAAGCAGCCTATTGGCAAAACGAGTTAACTGAGCTCGTTTGAGAGTTGGATGGCGCGGGTTCTACGCCCACTAGTGAGTGTTTTTATTTTTGTTTTTTTGCAAGCAGGAGAAATGGCGACGGGTAAATTGTGGAAAAGTATAAGGGCATTTTGGACATTGTGGGAAAAGTATTTAAGCGTAACGATGGAAGAAAAAAAAACAAACCCTAGCCTCATTGGCTTTCCTCTGAACCAGAAACGAACCCTTCTCCTCCCTTCTCAAACTCGATTTCATTTTCTTCTCCCTTCTTCGATTTTTAATGCGAAACCTGATCATCAAAATAAAACCCTAAACGAAACTAACTCGCAATCCTCTCTTCTTTGTCGCATGCCTCATTGATCACCTCTCTCGGAAGGCATGGTGACGAGGAGGGCTTCGATCGACGGTAAGTTCCGGGTCAATGCATGCTCTTTTTCATAGTTTGATTCTGATTTTTCGGTAATGTTTAGGGTTATGACCCTTTTATTCTGTTTCCTCTGGGGCTTTCGGTATTGATCGAGGGAAAGGAGAAGGGAAAGTCGGCGGCTCTGGACTCCGACGGCGGTGGTTGGGTGCCAACGACGAGGACTCAGCCGGCGACGTGGGGAAGAGAGCGCCACCCACAAGGATTATTTGGTAAGTTTTGTTTGGAATTTGGATGCATGTCTGGTTTTGGGGTTCGATTTTGCTTTTCTCTGGATTTGGGGTTGTTTTAAGTTTTAATTTCCTTGGGTTTCATTTGGGAATTTGAGGGTTCGATGGGGATTGAAGGAAAGGAGGAGGACGCCGGCAGTGGGGGATTCTGGTAAGCTCAAGTTTCTTTATTTTAGGGTATTCTTGTTTTGGTTATGCGTCTGATGTGGGTTAAAGCTGGATTTATTTGATGTTTTGATAGATTTTGACTAGTTCCTTGTTTTTATGTGGGGTTTTGGATTAAGGTGATATCCTATGCGCTAAAACTCGATTTCAATTGACATAATGTGATGTTTTAGGGTTCTGAATCATCTTAGATTGGGGTTTGTTCACAATCTGGGCGGTGAAGTGTAATTTTTGCTTAACCTCTAATGGTGAATAATTCTGAAATGCCATGTTTAGCTTGAGGTTGCAAATTCTTGTTTTTTTTTTTTATGGATGCACGACCCTCTTATTTTGAGGGATTAATAACCAGGAACTTATGTGTGTGATTAGTTCTGACCTTTGAGATTTGTTTGCTGTTTGGGAGCTTTAATCGGTTATTATGATCGAGTATGGGGATTTGTGTGTTTATGATGGCCTGTGTATTCGGATATGGGAAGGAAAGAAATTCTTATGTGGTTTATGATGGATTTGAATATGGAAATCTGTATACTGGGTCTTGTTGTGTGTATGGTGAGTAACTGGGAAACTTAGCTTAATTATGGTTAGGTGTGTAGTCCAAAATATAAAAACAAACATAAAAAACAAGTAAAACGGACAAAAGAATAGTAAATGATGAACAAAGATAGATTTATATATAGATGTAGTATTGTAGTAGGCTTAAACATGAAATATTCAATTGGAAGTACTGAAATAAATACAACAGTAAATATAATGAACTCATAAGGAAAAGCAATGGATCACATTTGTCGACTGCTTTTGTTATTATGGTGAGATTTGCTGACTTGTAATTTGCTTTGAAAGTCGATTGTGCTCGATTGCTTTTGGAGTTTTATTAAGGTCAGATTGTAATTTGATTTGGGATTGGCTGAGCTTTATATAAGAAGCTTTACATAGGTAGATATGATAGGATTATGGATGATAATGATTGGGATTGGGATTTGGATAACTACCAACCTTCTGCTATGGTTGGGGGAGTGGCTGAAGCTGCTTATACTATTCCTGCTCCTCTTCTCCTTGTCTTGTGCTTGCGGCAGTCTGTCCTTTTCTGCTGTTCTTCTACTGCTTTTTCTCTTTTTTATAGTTGTTGTATGTGTTTTATTGCAAGGAAGAAGTGGTGGTGAAGAAGAAGCTGTCTCTAGAGAAAAGGTTCCAAGAGAAGTCCTCTGTTTATGTCGGTTTGTGGTAAAGAGAAAGAAGAGAAGTGGTTCTGTGTGTGCCAAGAGGAAGGGAGTTTCGGGAATGATCAAAAGATGAAGGAGTGAGGGAGTCTGCCCCACCCCCACCCACCCCCCCCCCCCCCCCCCCCCCCCCCCTTTTTTTTTCTGGTACGGAACAGATAGGTTTTTATAGAAAAAGAAAACTTGTTCCCAAAGCTTACAACAGTGCCGGTTCTGGGTCGGACCGGTCTGAGTTGGGTTGGACCGATATGGGTTTGGTCAGACCTGATCTCTGACCGGTTTGACTTTGTTCACTGGTTTGATTGAGGGTCTTTTGACTTGGGCAGTTTTGAGCTTAATTGTAAAATTGTAATTATTAATTGTTCTAATTATGTAGTTAATTTATTGTAATTGTCTTAAATGATATTGTTATTTCTTTCTTTAGACTTTAATTACTTAGTAATCAAGATTCAACCTCACAATCCCATATGTCAAGAAGTCTAATTCGTACAGATTTGTATTGCTAATCTCATTGCTTATGGAAAACAAAACCCAACTCAAAACAAATACGACTTCAATTCAAATACGACTTTAATTAGTAGTTTGTTTAAAATTTGCTATTGATAACTTTAAACAAAAACTAATATTTGTTTAATTAAATATGTTTTGCCCGGACAAAAAGCGGTGTCTACACTCAATAAGTATCGAACCACAAACCTCTACTTTATTGACTAAGCAAATAACGAACAATTAACCAATTAAGCTACATCACATTGATGACCATTTTGCATAATTTCGCTTTCTTATTAAGTGAAGGGTTAAAATGAACGATAAATATATCACAGGGGATTGTTTCAACTTCGGCGGGGACTAAGAGAGTGGAAAAGGGGTAATTATTCTACCAAAAAAGAAAAGAAAAGGGGGAATTAACGAAGAGTTAAATTGGACGGATTGTCTTTAGCACGCCACTACCACCCAAAATCCTTCGGAGCAAAGACGTGTTGGTTCAAGTCAAAGAATAAATGAAGAAAGATGAAGTTAAGAACTCTAACTAATTTTGATTCCATATGTGGCGAATCGCTAATGGGCGGGATAACCAACATGGCAAACTCGTTAATGAGAACCTACTTTGCACACACCAAATCATTTTATCTCGTACCGATAAATGTGTAAAGAGACACGCTACAATAATTATGTCTAAATTTCCTGATAATAAGGCATGATCAACATTTATAAGAAGATGTTAAGACAATATAAAATCGAGAAAAATAAAACAACACCTACCCTCAGCCGAATCAATCAATACAATATGCTCTGGACCATCAACAATTCAACACCTTATAAACCATCCCATATACCATATACTCTAAACCATATACCATATACTCTAAACCATATACCATATACCATATATTCTAAATCATCAACAACCTAATACACTAACCAGTCAGTAATCATTAACTTAACCATAAACACCTTATACAATAATCGCATACCTATACGCTGATAAAATTTTACATTTTGAAAATACTTGCCCAAGTAAAGTACACAAGTACTTCAAAAGCGAAATTCTAACTTTCGTTTCAAAACATAAATTTAAAAAATGTCCTCACTAAGTATCTAACCACACACCTCTAATTAGTCTACAAGAGGTTTGTTATGTCAAGAGGGGCAAACAGTGAGAGAGTGGAATAGGGGCAATTAATAAAGAGTTAAATTGGGCGGATTGTTTTTTACCTCGTACCGATAAATGTGTAAATAGACACGCTACCATTTACCGAATCCAAAAAAAAAAAAGATGGAACACATAATTGTGTTTAAATTGCGTGAACGCAAGACATGATCAGCATTTAGAAGCAGAAGCAGAAGCAGACGCAGATGTAAATAAAAGCCCAACCTCTTCACAATCCGGATCATGTACACAAGCCCACTTTTGAAGGGAATTTAAAAGCCCAACTAGACTTTGTCCTAAACGCACCGTTAATACATAAACACAAGTTAAGGTGACCTCTCCATCTGATTCGAATCAAATTCTGTCTTCTTCATCTTCTTCCTCAATTAGGTCGAAGACTGTGTTGCTTATTTCATCTTCAATTTGTGTAAATTCTAGTAGGAAATAAAATGGCGAAGAACAAAACGTCGATTGTGGATACAAGGAAACGATGATTATGTGGAGATTTTAGATTCCGGTCGGAAATAAAATGGCGAAGAACAAAACGTCGATTGTGGATACAAGGATTTGTGGTTCATAATGATGATTATGTGGGGATTTTAGATTGAAAAGGGATCTTCTCTTCGAACGTGGATACATAGATTTGGGGTTCAAAACATGATGATGTTGGGGATTTGATATTGGATTGGGAGCTAAATCGAATGTCGATCAAATGATAAAAGGATTTGAGATTTAAGATTTCAGAAACGATGATAAAAGGATTATGTTCGAACTTCGAACTAAGAGGGGACGTCCCCTCTAAGACGAATGAGGGACTAGAAATTGGTTAGGGCGGCGGGTCGTATCCATAGGGTTTAACCTCTTAATCGATATAATTAAACCGGGTACAGTTAGGTTGAAGTCCAATGAACAACGCTTAAACGCTTCATGATGCTTTTGGTAATTTTCCTTGCCCCCGGTTACCCGTACCCCGGATTTTGCCCTGGGCACCCTAGAACTGCCCATATATATATATATATGAGTCGGTCGGGGACGCAGACATCTAAATTCCCCCACCCCGTACATTTTCTTTTCCCCACCAATATCACTTCTTCCTTCTTTTCCTGGACCGAAAGCAGAGCGAGCAGGGGAGCTCGACAGTGAATTTCCAAAGCTCAAAATCTTGAGCTACAGTGATCCAAAAATCCCGTAAGTAATACCTAATTCATCCATACATCATGATTTATCGATTTAGAACTTTAAAACGAGTTTTTGGTTCAGGAATTTTTTGAATTCCCGATAAGTCAAATTAGGGTTTCGGAGTATCCAGAAGCCGGATTGAGCCCAAATTTCATATACGAGCTTCCTGCAGCGAGGTAATCAATTCTCTAGTTCTAATCCCCGAATTTCGACAATTATTTAGGTCGAGGTCCAAATCGCTGAATTTAGCTCGGGCCAGGGTTTGATGTGTTTTTATCGAGAATTGGACCCGGAGCCTAGAACTAATATTGACGGGGATACTGCAGGGGATATTAGGACGGTCTCGGACTTTAATTCGGGGTTCGTTCGTGAAATTGACGTTTTAGTACGGGGAAGCTTAAACCGGTGTTTGAACAACCAGAACTGGTGAGGGATTAGCACGACATACCGGGTTTGTCGTATCACGATAATTATATTAATGCTTAGAATGCACATAGGTGAACTAGAATGTCATGATTAGGGGTGTATGGACTTTTGTGCTATATGTTGAACGCTGTATGATATTATTGACTTTCCCTAATTGATATGAACCTTGTTTATGTTGATGATTGTGTATATGTTGCAAATTGTGGGCTAGACTGTTAATATGCTTTACGATGGTTCGAGAAGGTGATTAGGTATGATATTTCATGATTGTTGTATTTGGATGCACAAGTGGGAAAATATATATTCCCTGGTGATATTATGATGTTTAAGGAGGATGACTTGCACGAGGGTTTATCCCGAGGAAGTGCAATTATACGACTCCTGATTTACCTATGTTGAGCCAATTATGGCCAGGTCAAGTACATGTGCAAGTAATGAATTATGATTAAGCAAGATGAGATATGAATCATGTATAAGGATACCAAATATGAGTGTTGTGTTCTCACGGTCAACTACATAAGAATTAGGGCTCCCTATGCTATTACTCTATTATGATATGTATGATAGTCACACCTCTCATGTGGTGGTGACTCAAGATTTCTTACGAGATATGACCACACCCAGAGTGGTGTCGGGGTATGACTACACCCATAGTGGTGTAGGGTATGTATGACCACATCCGACGGGATGTTGGGGTATGTATGACTACATCCGACGGGATGTGGGGTATGTTTCCCGGGAGAGTTATTAGCATGGGAGTAGCCAGGCACCTATGAGTAAAACATGATAAGATGCATATGCATAAGTCAAGGTGGTTGAGCCTTTTTCCTATTGGGATGTCGGAGGGATGAGATCTGATCCCAGTGCTTTGGCTTGTTTGCTAGATGTATGGTAGGGGTATGCTCTGTTATGAACTCACGATGCTATGATTATCTCACTCAACTATGAGCTGACCCTCTTTTATTCTTCTTCTCTGCTTGTGCTATGTGTAAGCAGATCATCACCAGCAGCAGTAGATATGTGTTAGGTGGAAGAGGAGCTAGAGTTGGAGCCAGGATGAGGTATGGTCTTCAACTATTCTGTGCTTGGACTACTACTCGGGATTTTGGCCAGTGATCCACACCTTTTTGTAAAAATGTTTTGAGAACGTTTTTTTAGGTGCATACTAGCTTCTGATGTAGTGTGAGATATCCACAGGTTTGGAAAGTTGATGATGTGTATATTTTTGTAATTGTGTAAGTTGTGACGATTATGGCTTGTATCAGTATAGTATGCAGTTGTGTAGTATGAAACTGTGACTATGGCTATGAAGGCCAATGCATACGGTTGTGAGTATATATGTTTGTGATGAATTATTTTGCAGGATGAGTTGCAAGAACTGTTAGCCCATTACGCGAGTACTTCATGTCGAAATTTTATTTAGGTAAATTTTGATAATTAATGTAACACCCGAGATTAATTCCGCTGCAATTGTAGGAACAATATGATTAGGTAATACGTATAGGGTAGGGTGTTACAGTTTGGTATCAGAGCCCGATTCCCTCTTTTTGTTGTTATGGTGTACTATACCCTATGGGAGGTTAAACACTTCTAAGGAGGGGAGTACCCCATAATGACTTAAACTGGGAATTGAGTTTTACATGATTATGTGTATTGGTATATTTGATGAAATTACCTGCATCATGGTTTTCAAAATTGAGTTTTGAACTTATTGTTTTCTAGTAATTATTTTGGGAAAATTTTGTTTTAACCAAGTGAGAGATTTGGTGAAGAATGAATTTTGTGTGGATCAATCTAAGGCCAATATTTCCTTGTAGCTC